AATGAATTCAACTCACAGTCACTTTTTTTATTAAATACAAGCGCCACTCATCTTAACCTGTTCAAGACTATGCTTAACCATTTTCTTATACAGATATCCACATCTGTGCTTCTTACTCTGTAACCCTCTAACCAGAATGGACCCGAGCCTTGTACAGGGTGAATATCACTGTAAAAATCCGTAATTTAACGATCATGAACGGGTTTGAGTCCTTTCATTGCTTCACTCCTCTAACAAATTCTAGGTTGTCTCTTTTTTCTGAAACATCTCAGTTCTAATCACAATCTTCTTTATGTGCCGTTTCCCTTCAAGACGTAGGCGATCATGGCTCTCCACAATTTCCTGTCCCTTGTAGCTCTTAATAAATTTTGTCTTTTTGTTATTTCTCCTAAAACCTCTTCCGCCATTCACTAACTCAAGCTCACTAAGTATGATACATGTTGTTTTCATTTGTCCCTCTTGCTTTCAATCTGTCTTGTGGGTATCAGATTTTCCAATCTCTTTTTTTCTCATTATGTGCCCCAGAAACCTTACATTTTTGTTTCCATTTCTCTAAAACTTCGTTATTGTTCACATGTTACTGATATCCTCAGTATCCTTCTGTAGAACCACATTTCTATTGCTTTATGTCTCTTCCTCTTTGAGGAAATTGTCTAACATTCACTGTCATATAAGAGGACAGATATCACGTAACAGTTCAGGATTCTTTTCTTTGTTTCTAACGATAACTGCGTGTCTCTTAATGCTGTGCTTAGCTTTTGGAATGTATCTTTGGACATAACAGTGAGTCTTCGAATCTCAATGTCGCACTTTTTCTGTTAGAACATTTCCTAGATAATTAAATTGTTGTGCTTGTTTGATTTTGGTATCTCCGATTTGTAATTTGCACTTTGGGCTCTTCTTTTTGCTAACAACCATCCATTCTGTCTTCTTGAAGTTGATGCTTAATCCTTTCTTCTCGTTTTCTTTCATTACTTTCTGTAGGAGTTATTGTAGTTTTCTTTCAGTGTTTGCTATTAACACTGCAATCTGCATATCTTATGTTGCCAATAATGAATTCTGGTAAGACTTCTAATTCTCTCAGAATAGTCTCACTCTATAGGTTGAATAAGTCCGTTTAAAAGCACATACTTGTCTTATACCGCTTTCTATTCTTCTAACCCCATTTTCTATCCATATGCAGGCGATTTGCCGCCAGTATAGATTCTTATATGTCAAGGTTGCTGAGCAGTTCTAACAGATATTTGTGGTGTACTTTATCGAACGCCTTAGTTTAATCTCTAAAACACAGGTACACGTCCTTCTGATAACATTCTAATCATGAATATCGTCTTCCTTGTTCCAGTGTATCTGACGAATCTCCCCTGTACTTGTCCTATTTCTGATCTGATTCTGCTGCCGGCTTAGTGCTAATTTTAATAAACATCTTTTGAATTTGTCTGTTACACTTCAACCCACAGGAACAATTTTAACAATTTTTTGTTTATATGATAGCTTTTTCTAAAGGCTGACTCTTGCGTAGTACATTTCAATGGTTCTGTTCCTTCCTTCACGTCTCTTTTCTTCATCCATTCATTCATTCCATTTGTATAAAATCACCCACTCATTAAGCTCCTTATCCATAACACTGAGAAATTGCCCATGTCCTAATTTCTCCATTTAAGGTTTTACATTTTTTCTTCTCGAATTCTTCCTTACTGATGCAACACCCTGTTTCTATTAATCGGTTACATTATACCAGCCAGAAAGGGTTCACCACTAAATCCCACGTTTGATTATTCCAAATGCCTCGCTTAAATGTATAAGAAAAATAACGTTTCTTAAAATTGTATTTTGTTTCGTTGTCAATTGTTCACTCACATACCCTCATATAAAACCACATAAATAAAGAATGATTAAGTACAATCTTTCATGAATTTTAAAAACTTTCGTTGAAAATAATGTTTTCATCATTTTAAACCACTGGTGATTTTCACTAAGGAAGGTATGTTGCTTTTGAAACAGGAAACATTCATAATATTTTTTTCCTCCTTTTTTTCCTCCTTATGGCGATTTTTTAAGCGTAACTTAGATATGTCACACTGATGCAAGTATGGAACACTTCAATTGAATAAATTAGACATTAATCAAACGTATTGATTTGCTCTAATCACACTACCATCTGTGATATTATTATATCAAAACTTCAATTTTTTAAATTATCGAAAAAAGTTTTCTCCAAATAAACTTCTCCTCCATTTCTAATGGTCTTCTTAAAGTGAAACTAGCTGCAGTACCTACTACGACAAATTACCCTGAAACTTTTCTGCCGTGCGGCCCTCCTTGTGATGCGGCCCACTACTCGAAAAAAGTTGCCCATGCTGGTTTGGATTCGACTTTTTCCTCCGTTATTTAGGAAATTAATTGGCGCGGGCATTACGCCCTGCAGTTATCTCAGATAAATAATGTACAATTCCATTATGTTTTCGAGGACACACGAAAGAAAAAAATAATATCAAAAACGTTGTTTGTTTTTTATTGAGAAAAAGAATGCATACAAAATAAGAATATAATGGCTAGCAAGCTTGTTTCGCTAGGGCAGTTACGACTGGGTAGTGCGTTCGATCCTCACTGGGTTCTCCATACTTCCATCAGTGTGACATATCTAAGCTACGCTTAGAAAATCGCCATAAGGTAACGCTTTTAGCGTCTGCTTCAGAGAAATGGAAAATTTTGTCAGTTTTTACTCTTTTCATTTGTAATCTCTTACTTCTTTAAATAATGGCATGTATTCATAATTTTGATTCTTATTAAATACTTTGTTAAAAGTGTTAAGCTCAAATATTCAACGATGCTCTATGGGAATTTCTACGGATGTTTGATATTTGTGGAACTTGCAATTCAATCATTAACTTAAGAATTATCATTCATCAAAAAATTAAAATAGTAAAATCATGAAAACTTTGAGGTTACTTTTAGTATAAGTACAACGATTTGATAAACATTTGTTTCTTAATTCAATAGATCTTACTTGCTGAGAATTTACCCTACGCTGAGTCAAATAGTCCATGTTATAAAGTCAGCTCAATAGTCGAATTTGTTAGCTAATGTCAAGTCGTTCAGAAACTAAAATTGCGTTATGGGAACGTGAGTAAAAATGTTCTGTATTACTGGGGAAACTGGTCTCGTCGTAAAAAAAAACAAAAAAAAAACATGGGTATTTTTTAATATTTTTTTTTATATTAGCATTTATTAGACCTTCTTCTACCCACGGCGCTTTTCGGAATCGAAAGATATTGATTTTTCCCGTTTTAGATGTCAGGTACTATTTATTAATACAGTGAGAAATCGATCTCTGATTTTTTTTTTTTAAGTTGTGTGGTGTTTGTTTTGATAAGGCAGCCCAAAAGTGTCCTTGCAGTTTTTGATTTGTTAGAAAAATGGTAATTCGACATACCCTTAGTCCTCAAAGTAATCCTCATCGGCATTCAGAATCTGTTACCAATGTGCCTCAAGCAGCGCATTACATTGGTGGTAAAGGCATGCTTCTGGGACGCAAAGATGTCTGTGAGTTCCTTCTGCAAGTCTGCCTCGTTGGCCAAGGATTTCCCAGGGAATTGAAGAGGTCGTAATCTGTTGGCGCAATTCCCTTTGAGTAAAGTGGGTGGGACAGTGTCTCCCAGCAAAGTCGCCATATTGTATCCCTGGCCATTCGTGCCACTTAAAGCCTGGCATTGTCATGGAGAAACAATACACATTTTCGGTTAACCAATGTTTGCGCCTTTAACTTAAGTGCCTGTGGCATACGTTCCAACTGCTGCGAATACGTGTCTGCAGTGATGGTTTGGCCCGTTGGTAACAGATTATAGTGCACTACTTGTCAACTAATCAACCGGATACAGGGCATGATCTTGCGTGGGTATAGAGGTGGTCTTGTGGTGTGAGGCCAATGTCCTTTGGTGACAATCAATGTCTGGCACGCTTAGGAGTGTCGTATAGGTCCTACTTTTCGCCACTGGTGAGTACTCTATCAAATATGCGTACTTTGAGGTACCAAGAAATCAACGGGAGACGGGCTGTTGTTGCTTATTGATTCCAACCGTGTGTGGGGCAAGTGAAGTCTGAATATTTAGTCCGAACCTGGAAGCGTTCGACAAATTAGTTACAGGTTTGGCAGTTGTCTTTGTCTATGGCCGTCTTCATGGCTTAATCATCCAGGACCTGTGTCCGGCCACTGCGAGGTTCGTAACAAAAATATCCCAACCTGAACTTCTGGGACCAATGCCTTGCGACGCGTTTACTCACAGCATTATCCCCAAAGGCTTGACGCATTCGATGACTTGTTGCGGCTGCCGACAAGCAGACAACTTCAAACTAACAGTTTCTAAACCGGCATGTTTCCTTGCCGTGACTCAAATTATGACTGATATGTGTACGCAATGCACCTGCATTGGTAAAGATCAATCCACCCTACCTCCACCCGACCACTTTCCTAGCTCGTGACGCACTTGTTTGATTATCAGTGATCACTTCTTCCGATACGATGTACAAAACGACAAGGATATTTTTGTTACCTTATATTTGCAAAGGTTAAGTTTGAAATTGTGCTTTCGTCAGTGATATTGATGTTATCTTTTTTCCCAATTTATAAATTAAAACAAAGGAATGCCAACTCTTTAAAAAGGTAGGAATTGATTTGATTCGCTATTTATTTTATAAACACTACCCCAATTCTAAAATGATAAAAAATCAATTGTTTCAATTCTAACAAATGTTGAGGGTAGATGACATAATGAAAAGTAATCAACAACCATTAGTCGAAATTTATTTTTCTATTTTTTATGACGCAAGCATATTCCGTCATTTTAACATGTTAAAATGCAATATAAGTGTGTTTTTCAATATAAATTTACTTATCTAGAACAAAATTGTCATTATGAGAAACGATAAACTGACATTATGAAATTAATTCATTTATTCCTCGAAATAAACTATTATGTTTTTCTTATGTCTACTTATAGCCGCTCCGTCTTTTTTCAATGTAACCAGTGAGGTTAATGTGAAGAAGAACGAGGAGGTCGTTCTCTATTGCAATGCTGAAGGACACCCTGAACCCAACGTCACAATGTTTATGTACGAAAATGGACGGATACAGAGTATGTATTGTATGTTCTCTCGTTAAACTAACAGGACAATTCCTACTTGCCGCGCTTTTCATCATCATCATCATCGTAATCATCATCTTTCTGGCATATATCACGCACATAGACTGAAAGACAAACTCAAGGACAAATTATAATGATAAAAGCCATAGTAAAAGAAATCATTTCAGTTATTTATGAGAATTTGAAATTGATGCATACAAGATTTCACAGCACAATCAGCATTCCATTTTTGTCAGACTATGAACTTTATCAGCCAACCCTCGTTGCTGAAAAGAAACAATGCAATAATTAAAAAGACTTGAAATTAAAGCATGAATGTTTTACAGCTCTAACAACATCCCCTAACAGTTAGCCTGTTAACTTTTTCAGCTAATATTTAGCCTGTTAACTTTTTCACACACTCGTTTGAAAAGAAACCTTGAAATTAATGCATGAATGTTTTACAGCTCTAACAACATTCCCTAATAGTTAGCCTAACTTTTCAGCACACCTCGTTCCTAAAAAAAGAAACAATGAAATTATTATGCATAAGACTCTAACAACATTGTTAACTTTTAATGAAATGAATGTTTTAAGACTTGAAATTAATGCATGAATGTTTTACAGCTCTAACAACATTCACTAATAGTTAGCCTGTTAACTTTTCAGCACACACTCGTTCCTGAAAAGAAACAATGAAATTATTAATAAGACTTGAAATTAATGCATGAATGTTTTACAGCTCTAACAACATTCCCTAATAGTTAGCCTGTTAACTTTTCAGCACACCCTCGTTCCTAAAAAGAAACAATGAAATTATTAATAAGACTTTTAAATGAATGCATTCCCTAATAGTTAGCCTGTTAACTTTTCAGCACACACTCGTTCCTAAAAAGAAACAGTGAAATTATTAATAAGACTTGAAATTAATGCATTTATGTTTTACAGCTCTAACAACATTCCCTAATAGTTAGCCTGTTAACTTTTCAGCACACCCTCGTTCCTAAAAAGAAACAATGAAATTATTAATAAGACTTGAAATTAATGCATGAATGTTTTACAGCTCTAACAACATTCCCTAATAGTTAGCCTGTTAACCTCGTTCCTAAAAAGAAAATAGTTAGCCTGTTAACTTTTCAGCACACCCTCGTTCCTAAAAAGAAACAATGAAATTATTAATAAGACTTGAAATTAATGCATGAATGTTTTACAGCTCTAACAACATTCCCTAATAGTTAGCCTGTTAACTTTTCAGCACACACTCGTTCCTAAAAAGAAACAGTGAAATTATTAATAAGACTTGAAATTAATGCATTTATGTTTTACAGCTCTAACAACATTCCCTAATAGTTAAACTTTTAACCCCTCGTTCCTAAAAAAAGAAACAATGAAATTATTAATAATACTTGAAATTAATGCACGAATGTTTTACAGCTCTAACAACATTCCCTAATAGTTAGCCTGTTAACTTTTCAGCACACCCTCGTTCCTGAAAATAAACAATGCAGTTATTAATAAGATTTGAAATTAATGCATGCAAGTGTTCACAGCTGTAACATCATTCCTTCATAGTCAACCTATGTATTTTTCAGCCAACATTCGTATCTGGAAAGAAACAATGTAGTTATTAATAAGAGGAGTTGAAAATAATGCATGGGAGATTTCCCAGCTCTTGCATCATTGCCTTCTTAAGAATTTTTTTCAGCCCAACCTCGTATTTATGCTATCACGTGGAAGCGTAATATATATACAATCATATGAACGTAATGCATATTATCTGTTAACACAGCATATGAACATGAGCAATCATTTGTGCAGAATATATAGCCGAAAGCAGACATTTATTGTCCTTGTAAAAAATGGCCGACCTGTTCGACTCTTTTTTTCTGTAATGATATTTGTTGATTTTCTTTTAATAAAGTATTTCCTTTATACTTCATGCCATTCAAGGACGTGGGTTATCATTTTGTTGTATTGTGTAAGTCATACCTATTTACCCTTCTTCTTTGTCCTTATTCTGGCCTCCATTCTTACAATCTTATTAAGTCGCTTGCTTGTCATTAACTCGGCTTCTCGTGTATTCAGTGTGTTCTGTGATTGTTTAAATTCTCCACGCTCTCTGTCCCTATTATGTGTTCCAGAAATTTAAAACATTTCTTTCTGATTGTAAGTATATGTACCTTTGTAGTTCTTCTTTTCACTAAAATATCCTCTATACCATATATATATATATATATATATATATATATATATATATATATATATATATATATATATAGGTTGGCCAGAATGTCCTGACTGACTTAGAAAGCGTGAAGAAAACAACATATCCGTATCTCTGTCTGGTGGAATATCCAAGGAGTACTGCATTTCGAGCTTGTTCTACACAGTCGCGCCGTCAACGATAAACTCTATTGCCAGCAAACTAACAAATGAGTATCAATCGAGGTTGGTCTTTGTTTCGGCAAGGCTATGCGAGGTCACACCCTGTCAGGTTGACTAAGGAGAAGTTCAAACAGATGAAAAGTGTTGAGATTCTTCCACATCCACCATTCAGTCGCGATGCTGCTCCTGGTGACTATGGCCTATTCTACTCAATGGCACACTTCGTCTGCGACCAGAGTTTCAACACTTTTGATGGATTGAAAGAAGCTTGTTTACATTTTGTTTTTTATCCAACGCCAGCAGACTGATATCTGAGACAGATTCGGATGCTGACTGATCGCTGGCAGAAGGTCGTTGAGAATGATGGACTAGAATAGATGTTGGTGTTGTTCCATAAAATTTTGTTGGTTTCTTTCCGATTCCTAAGTGAGTCAGAACGTTCTGGTCAACCAAATTATATATATATATATATATATATATATATATATATATATATATATATATATATATATATATACCAATTTAAAAATATGGTTCCATCGCTACACAGGAATTACCATGTTTCAAAAAACAGAAACCAAAAACTTCAAATTCAATTATAAAAATAAGTTAAATCCCTAGTCCTGTTTCATTTTCAAGCGAATTTTGGAATAACTTATTTTGAAATTGACTGAGATTTATAAGCGCATACATTCATAATATTAGTTTCTAAGGAAACGGAGAAATCGAAGGTAATTCCTGTGTAGCGATGGAACCATTTTTAAATTAGTAAATTTATAATATTTTTGATCTGTAGATTTGCAAGAGCACTGTTCTGTAGAAATAAAAATATTAATAAGAACACGGGATTATGTATCTTAGTGTTCTTTCTCTTTATTATTATTATATATATATATATATATATATATATATATATATATATATATATATATATATATATATATATATATATATAATATATATATATTATATATATATATTATATTATATATATATATTATATATATATATATATATATATATATATATTATAATATATGTGTGTGTGTGTGTGTGTGTGTGTGTGTGTGTGTGTAACTTCTCGGACTTACTGACAAGAAGTGGAAGGATTATATAGAATCAATTGCTAAGTCTGCTGCTAAGAAAGTGGGTTCACTGTGTCGTGCTAGACAATTTTCCCTCCAGAATTTATCTGGAGTATTTATAAGTCTACCATTCGTATAAGCTTTGAATATTACCGCCACATATGGTCTGCTGCTCCTGCTGTTATATTTAGAGAATCTTGATACCCCCCCACTCCAAAAAAAGATCAGCAATATTACAGGTCCTGTTCTGGCATCTCAAATTCAGTCACTTTCCCACTGTCGGAACGCAGCCTCCCTGTCCCTTGTCTATAAATACTTCCATGGTTATTATTTGGAAATTGTAATAATTGTAATGAAGAGTCCTTCCAAATTATGACCCTGAAAGTATTAAAACAATAGTCACAGAGAAGCTGCGTTGCTTAACTTCATAAAATCAAAACAAGCTAAATGTGCTGGTGAAGAAACCGTTTGCATAGAACTTAAGGTTATTTCTAGCAATGTCAATTGTAAAATGATGAGTCTCGAGTTTTGCATTCGTAAAATCAGATTATCAAAGAGAAAAGATCATCGGACCAATTACTGAATGAAAATATTTATAGTAAAGACACAAAGAAGCTACATTACGGCAGCAGGAAAGTGACTGAAACCGTGATACTAGGTAAGGACCAATGACATTGCCACAGTATCTTTCTACATTTCTGAGATGAGGTATTATGTCCACTATTTACATTATTCGGACTATTGTCCTCATCTTTGTCGCCATATTTATTACAACGTTTCGGCCTTTGTACGCTCCGGCCTTCTTCATGTGGTTGGAATGTCGAACTGAACCCTTTATTTCGATCACTGGGGTAGACTGTTCTAGTTCCAAGTGCCGTGTTTAATGGATGTCAGTTATCAGTTATCCCCTGTTAATTCCCTTCTCCAAGTTCTCCACTGCAGTAACCGGGTATTGAACTCACACTCTTTGGGTCCTGTCACTGGATCTAACCAACGCCTTTATTCACTGTGCCATGTGTCCTTGAGACATTCCAACCACCTGAAGAAGGCCAGAGCCTACAACTGACGAAACGTTGTAATAAATATGGCAACAAAGATGAGGACAATAGCCCGAATGATGTAAATAGTGGACATTGTCACACTAATAATAAAATTGTCCATCATTCACTGCTCTTTACGAGGGTTGATATTACATAAGAGTTCATGAAATTATCCTGTCCTCTAATACTGGGTTTTGTTTGCGACAGGCATTTTCGCTATTCTAACGCGCCATTAGCTTTTCGTGTGGCATTCTCCGCCGTCTGTTAACACACTTTCCAGATAATTAAATTTCTGTACTTACTTTATTTTGACATCCCCAATTTGCATCTCGTATCTTGGTTGTCCCTTTTACTGTCAAAAATATGTTCTATCTTGTTACGGTTGATAGTTAATCCTTTCTTCTCCATTTTCTTTACTGTCTTATCTAGAGGTTCCTGCATTCTACTTTCTGTCTCTCTAATCAATTCGGTGTCATCTGCGTATCTTAAGTTGCAATATCTAAATAAATATAATTTATCTTCCATTTCACTTTACATACTGTACCTGTGAAATATTTCTGAAAATATTAACGGAAATAATTGAATGAGAAATGTTATTTATTCGTATCTTTTTTCTTTTTTTGCAGAAATTGCCAATGGTACAACGTTAAATACGAGAATTCCATGTAAATATTGTATAGTAGTTTTTTTGTGTAAAGCAGAAAATAGTCTCGGGGAAGATTCCGTCAACATAACGGTTAATGTCGTTGGTAAGTAGATCTACGTGATATGTTAACACACTCATTTTTCTTCTTTATTACTGTGATATTGTTAGGCATTGTATTCTTGTTTTTATCTTCAACTCATCATAAAACTGGGCGTCCTGGGTTTGACGATAAACTAAATCCGGCAATAAGGCCTCTGATCGAGGATTGTGGAACAACCTCTTAATTGCTGTTGTTCCCAGGTCCACCTGAGCGAACAATTACCATGAAAGTATTTATAGAAAAGACACGGGGAGGCAACCTTACGGTGGTGGGAAAGTGACGGAAGCCGAGCTTCCAGATCATGACCAACAATATTGTGATTCTTCTTTGGGCTTTATCAAACTGCTCAAGAGGCACCAGATCATATGGGACAGCAATATTCTAAGCATATAGTAAACTTATTTATTATTCTATAAAATAAATTATAGTTAGATGCTTAAAAATATTACAAACTAGCAGTAGAACCCGGCATTGCCCGGAGATGTAACAGTAAGAGATAGATCAAGTATCGACCAACATAAAGACTGAAAAAAAAATGACAAAGATTATTGTTTAAGTTTGACGGACACACATGTCTTAATTAGTTTTTTTATTGTTTTTTTTTCTTATGAATTGGTCAAACCCAAACAAAAACATAGTTTTCAATCGTTATGAATCTACTGATTGAACAGAATTTTATTATAAACAATTGTTTTGTAAATGGAATTTTTAAAGCATTCTGAATGTAAAAATAAAGAAAAAAGTGTGCAAGACAATAAGAAACACTCCCTGCCAAAAAATAAAGTGACGTTTTCTTGAAATCGGTTGAAAAATGTAGGAAATCTGATCCCATATATAAAGGAATACACACACAAACACACAAACAATCTGGGTTTTATAATAAGTATAATTCGATATGAGTTGTCCCCCTTATATTCCGCGAAAGCGATGCCTCTTAATCGTGTTTTCAAATTGATTTCGTGCAAAAATAATTACGTTTTTCAAATTTTTGGCGCTGTCAGAACCACCGCAAGGTAATTTTACGTAGTCCTATTAAGTTTTGTTGAAATCGGTTGAAAAATGTAGGAAATCATATCCAATATATAAACGTACAGACACACACACACAACCTGGGTTTTATAATAAGTATGATTTAAATACAGAAATATTTAAAAAGGGGTTTTTATCAACGATATATTTTGAACTAAATTTTGATTGCTTTCTATTCTGGGCAAACATTTTTTTTAATTTAATCTATTATTTGCCTATCAAATATTTGCCCAATAAATCTGTTATTTGCCTATTAAATAGCTGTCTAGTAAATCCACTATTTGCTATTAATTCGATTAAAATTTTCCATTTCCATCGGTGAATAATGAAACCCACAAATTTATTTAGTCTTTGAATTTGACGAATACGACCAACAGAAATACAAAATGTTATATCTATATCCAGAAAACAACATTAAGTTGTTTTATTTTAATGGGAGTTCTTCGACTAACCGGCTTACAGCCATATCAGTTCGAAAACCAAGTTCTTGTAAGATCACTGAAATTAAGCAATGTCGAATCTGGTCAGTACTTAGATGGGTGACCGCTTGGGAATGCCAGGTGTTATAAGCTAAAATGTGCGGGAGGTGTAGTAGGTAATTGCTCGGATGTGGAAATCAGGGAACCGAGTTCCAAATCTAATCGGGTTCATTATATTCACTTACGCGCAAATATTCTTGGGAGAGACGAATCCACCGCTTTTCTTCCTTCAGTTATTGCGTAAATTAGTAGGACTTGTATCAGTGAGTCAGTATTATTTCCGAAGAATTCTTACAATCTATAATACTTTCTGACTTTAAATAACCTGCAAAAGATTGATAAGCCGTAAAACACAAATCGATCATGCTAACCATAATATTTTTATAGAAACAGAAATTATTTAAAGGAATGAATGAATAAAAATGGTTTACAGGAATCATTAAGTAATGAAAAGATTTGTCTTGAAAATTATTACATTTATACGACCCATCATTAAACTACTGAAAAAATGCCCGGTTCTTTGTCATGTCTTTACAAGAATCGCATCAGACTAAAAATGTAGTATTGCTGCCGTAACTTCCGAATGCTATCTTTCCAGATTTGAGAAAGTTCAAAAGCTTTTGCACGGCCTTGTAGGTGATGAATTATTTTTAACCATACAGCTCCTTTTCCATAGACGAAACGTTTCTAGCCACTTGGTACTCTATCACTATTTTTCAAGGCATATATTCGAAAGTACATTACTTGGTTCCAACAGACCTTCGCAACTAGGGCCCACCATGCTACGTACATTCACCCACATTCCTTTGATATTCCGTTGGTAAGGAGTAAGTTCCAGTCAGACAGCTTTTTCTCTAGAACAGACTGCTTACCCAATCATTACAATATTAATCTCTTTAATTCTATGGTTAAACGTACATAACCTCAAAACATGCAATTCTTGCTCCCTCCTTGCACGCTCTAACTTGAGTGACTCTTGTGCCTTGTGTTGGGTAAACATTAATAAAATTAAATATTCTAAAATTTCAGTAAAAGTAGAGTTTCACCTCCAATCTGTTGTTAACTTGGGCAAAGAATCTAGTTTTAACGCCTCCAAAACGAAGCTTCTCTCTTTCCATCACCTGAAAGACACCTTCCTGTCTCCATAAGAGTGCCTCGTTCCACCTTCTCGAGTTGCCATTCTCCGCTGATATTAAGTGGAAAGTTTATATTGAATTTATTGCTAGGCCAGCTGCTAAGAAACTGTGTGTGCTAGACAATTTTTCTTTCCAGAATCGATCTGGAATATTCATAAGTCTACCATTCGTCTATGCTTTGAATATTGCTGCCACATATGATCCAGTGCTCCTGTTGTATATTTAGAGAACCTTGATTGTTGAAACCTATGGAAGGTTACTGAATAGAATAATCACACGATGGTTGGTAATACACGATGATACTTAGGACAGGAACAACATATATAAGATTCGCCAGCGGCGCATAGAAGAAGTAAACAACTGCTAGAAGTGAGTCAAGCAAATTCCACAATGAATCTCCAACTGCATACCGCAGACGGTATCTACCAAATGCCCCATGCAGTCAAATGTAACACAAAGCCGAATATAACGTGGTGTTCCCGAACCCGTAGGCTCTACAAAGAAACCCGGTAGACCCCGTATAAAACGGGGCCGGTTGCTGTTTCCCAAGATGAGACTGTGCCCTTAGACATAGCCTCGTCTGGGGATCTTCTCAACGCAGAAGCAGAGAACTTAACCAGCACAGCTAAAGACGAATCTCCAAATGCAGACCCGCAGACCAACACATACAGTATTCACTATTGTATTTATGGGAATGGGAGCATACTCATTATCGTCCGTAGGTATGCTACAATATGGATAAAATCCAAAGAATCATAATATTATTGGTCCTGACCTGGCATCTCAGCTTCGGTCATATTCCCACCGCCGCAATGTAGCTTCCCCGTCCCTTTTCATTAAGTACTTTCTGTGTAACTGTTATGGTCCAGGTTAGGACCAAGGAAGAACAACACGAACACAAGAGTAGAAACAAGGTACATTACACGAAATAATAATACAAGATGTGGAAGGTGTTAGTATGACTGTCAGTCTGGTTTGGAGTGAACTACTATCGGCTCGACTCGATTCGGTATCTAGCCATCCCCCCACGAGGGTTGCATATGGCACAAGGCCCAGTTTAATGTGGGTATCCCGAGCCCGTAGGCCCGGCCAAAAAATGCCCGTAGAACTCGTATAAACGGGATCGGGTTGGTCAACCTCCCCGAACGAGACTCTGCCCTTCGGTGGAGCCTCGTCCGGGTTCCTCTCTGCTCAGAGGCAGAGAGTTCGACCGTCAAGCCGAGAAGCTTCGCTTGATTCGGTAACTAGCCACCCCCACGAGGGCTGCATGTGGCACAAGGCCGAGTTTAACGTGGGTTTCCCGAGCCTGTAGGCTCGGCCAAAAAATGCCCGTATAACCCGTATAAACGGGATCGGGTTGGTCAACCTCCCCGAACGAGATTCTGCCCTTCGGCGGAGCCTCGTCTGGGTTCCTTTCTGCTCAGAGGCAGAAAGTTCGACCGTCAAGTCGAGAAGCTCGGCTTGATTCGGTATCTAGCCACCCCCACGAGGGGTATGTGGCACAAGGCCGATTTTATCGTGGGACTTGGAGCCCGTAGGCTCAGCCAAAAAATGCCCGTACAACTCGCAAAAACGAGATCGGGTAGGTCATTTTCCCCGAACGAGATTCTGCCCTTCGGCGGAACTCGTCGGGTTCCTTTCTGCTCAGAGGCAGAAAGTTGGACTGTCAAACCGAGAAGCTCGGCTTGATTCAGTATCTAGCCACCCCCCACGAGGGTTGCATGCGACACAAGGTCATTTTTATCGTGGGTTTCCTGAGGCCGTAGGCTCAGCCAAAAATATGCCCGTATAACGTAAAAACGAGATAGGGTAGGTCATTTGAACGAGATTCTGCCCTTCGGCGGAACTCGTCCAGGTTCCTTTCTGCTCAAAACGAGAGTTCGACCGTCAAGTTCGGCGAGGGTTGCATGTGACACAAGGTCGTTTTTTATAACCCCGTAGGCTCAGCCAAAAATATGCCCGTATGACTCGTAAAACGAGATAGGGTAGGTCATTCACCCCGAACGAGATTCTGCCCTTCGGCGGAACCTCGTCCAGGTTCCTTTCTGAAAGTTCGACCGTCAAGTCGAAAAGCTCGGGATTCGGTATCTAGCCACCCCCCACGATTCTGACACAAGGTCGTTTTATCGTGGGCCTGAGCCCGTAGGCCAGCCAAAATATGGTATTCGTAAAAACGAGATAGGGTAGGCACCCGAACGAGATTCTGCCCTTCGGCGGAACCTCGTTTAGGTTTCTGCTCAAAAGCAAGTTCGAATCAAGTCGAGAAGCTCGGCTTGATTCAGTATCTAGCCACCCCCCACGAGGGGTTGCATGTGACACAAGGTCATTTTTTATCGTGGGTTTCCTGAGCCCGTAGGCTCAGCCAAAAATATGCCCGTATAACTCGCAAAAACGAGATCGGGTAGGTCATTCACCCGAACGAGATTCTGCCCTTCGGCGGAACCTCGTCGGGTTCCTTTCTGCTCAGAGGCAGAGAGTCGACCGTCAAGTCGGACCATTCAAACCGAGGGTTGATGCGACACAAGGTCATTTTTATCGTGGGTTTCCTGATTCAGCCAGTATCTAGCCATTCCCCCTGAACGAGGTTCGGCGGAACCTCGTCCGGGTTCCTTTCTGCTCAAAAAGCAGAGAGTTCGACCGTCAAGTCGAAAAGCTCGGCTTGATTCGGTATCTAGCCACCCCCCACGAGGGTTGCATGTGACACAAGGTCATTTTTATCGTGGGTTTCCTGAGCCCGTAGGCTCAGCCAAAAATATGCCCGTATGACTCGTAAAAACGAGGGGTAGGGTCATTCACCGTGAACGAGATTTCCTTCGGCGGAACCTCGTCCAGGTTCCTTTCTGCTCAAAAGCAGAGAGTTCGACCGTATAAGTCGAAAAGCTCGAGAAGCCACCCCCCCACGAGGGTTGCATGTGACACACAAGGTCGTTTTATCGTGGGTTTCTGAGCCCGTAGGCTCAGCCAAAAAAAAAATATGCCCGTATAACTGTAAAAACGAGATAGGGTAGGTCATTCACCCCGAACGAGATTCTGCCCTTCGGCGGAACCTCGTCCGGGTTCCTTTCTGCTCAAAAGCAGAGTTCGACCGTCAAGTCGAGAAGCTCGGCTTGATTCAGTATCTCAGCCCCCCCCACGAGGGTTGCATGCGACACAAGGTCATTTTTATCGTGGGTTTCCTGAGCCCGTAGGCTCAGCCAAAAATATGCCCGTATAACTTGTAAAAACGAGATCGGGTAGGTCATTCACCCCGAACGAGATTCTCTTCGGCGGAACCTCGTCCGGGTTCCTTTCTGCTCAAAAGCAGAGAGTTCGACCGTCAAGTCGAAAAGATCGGCTTGATTCGACCCTCTCTCTTGAGAGGCGTAGTATACATAATGTTAGGAAGAGTTCATTCTGTAGTTATAGGTAAGGACCCATGACAGTAATTCTTCGCATCAACTCCTCGCTATGGTACACAGACTTTAAGTATTTAAGCGCAGTACCAGATTGGCGTCAAGCTCTCATCAATTTGCAGTTAAGTTGGCTCGATGTAACCGTAAGTTCTATGCAGTATGCTTTCTTTTCTCCCACTTCTTTCTTGTTGAACTCTCTTCCATCTCCATGCTTTCTAGCCAATTTTGATCAACAAAAATTAAAATGCAATGTCAATCGTTGTCTATTGTCTTCTTCATTACTCTTCTATTGTACTCACTCCTTATTAATGTTTCTCTTTTTCTTATGCTTTCACACAGTAACCTTTGTCTGTTAGTGGTTTTACTATCTTTCAGGGGGCGAAAGGATTTAAAAAAAAAGAATAAACAGAAATTTTTTGTAAAAATCTTAAAGAAATAAGATCTATCTTGTAAATGTGCCATGGCAAAAACTGTTTTGTTCCAGCTTTCTTTCTTTTCTTTTCTTGTAGGTAAACCAGAAGTCAAAATTTTAGAGAGCCCTGTTACTGGAGATACCGGTCAAAATGTTAGTATCAACTGTGCAACAAAATCCAACCCGCCTGTCCAGTATATGCAATGGTTAAAAAACGGGAAACTTATCAAGACGACAAATGGGAAATCAATTAGCTTCAAAATCATAAGCATGTACGAAATGCTTATTACGCTGTCCTTTGAAAGTTTGAAGGAAAAGGATTTCGGTGAATACGTATGCCTAGCTAAAAATAATTACGGAAACGAAACGCAAAAAGTTCAACTTACGTGTAAGTATTTGCAAACATTTATTCGGAAAGGTAGGCAAGATATTTCATTCTCAGCCATTCTCATATATCTACGCCTACGACACAACATTTGATAGATAGATAGATAGATAGATAGATAGATAGATAGATAGATAGATAGATAGAAACAAAAGTATATGTCAACATAGATATAAACAAAAGTAGATGTGAACAAAGATAAATATAAACAAAAGTATGTGTGAAAATAGATAGATAGATAAAAACAAAAGTAGATAGATAGATAGATAGATAGATAGATAGATAGATAGATAGATAGAAACAAAATCAATCTGTATACCCACAAATCATGTAGACCTGATGGTAACCCTGTAATTGCCCTTAAGATATGTGCTCCCAAACTGGCCCTGTACTGTATAATAAATATCTTGCTTCGCTGCTTGTTGGAAATCCTCATCTGTTGTTTCAGTCTAAGAATTCAGATGAACCGTCCGACCCTTCCTACTACCTCTTTTTGGCAAACTACTCGAGGCCCTAATCAATGCTGAATTAGTTCACCATCTCACTTTGCGGGGCCTTCTTTCAAACAAACAATATGATTTTCGTTTCTCTAGGTCAGCTTCTGAAGTATTACCGATTATAGCGTTAAGAGTCTATTAAACTTTAGATAAGAGTGATGTTCGGGTTGATTCTTTGTACATCTCGAAACCGTTCGACAGGGCTTGGCATGTATGTCTATTTTTAACTGAATCAGTCTTTTTAAACAAAAATGGAAATGAGTGTTGTCCTGATCATCCACTCTTCTAGATCCTTCTATACTAAGACAGGTGTCTCCCAAGGCTCTATCCTTGGTCCCACTTTATTTTTAATTTCCATTAACGTCTTCCTGATGACATCAGCTCTCAACTTGGTGTATATCCTGAAGACAACTATTTACTCCTGTCTCGATACTAAGTCAGTATCATAAGGTCAAATTGGCGGCTAATCTCACAAACGATCTACTGTCTATTGTTAACTAGAGCAACGAATAACTTGTTAATTTTAACGCTTCTAAAACTAAACACCTCTCTAATCATATGAGGAACTACTTTCTGCCTTCCATCAACATGGCTGATGCTAACTCGCCTACTCAGCTTAACATTCTCGGCCGACATGAAGTGGAAACACTATATTGAATTCATTGCCAAGTCAGTTACTAATATAGTTGTTTCACTATGTCGTGCTAGATATTTTTCTCCGGAATCTATCTTACATATTTACAGATAGATAGATAGATAGATAGATAGATAGATAGAAACAAAAGTAGATAGGGACAAAGATAGAGAGAAACATAGATACTAAGGACCAAAACAGGGCGAGAGGAGAATTTCTCTGCCAAGGTGTGAGTATACAATAAGATCACGTGTCAGCCATAATCGTCATTTTCTTGTGCCGGAACAGATCAGGAGACATTAATTCTTAAACCGGTGTACGCCAAAAATAATAATTGACAAGTAAAGAATACTTTCACATGAACTTTCATATATTTCAGATAACGGCAAAAGAAAAGGTTTTGATAGCGCGCTGAGTGACCAATTTCCTGACTTGAGTTAAACGCACTGAAAAAACAGTCTGTTTTTAGCTCGATATGGTGGCTGTTCACGCTTTGTAAAGTATCTTCATATTTATAGGGATATAGTTCCTAACGCCCTACGAATTCCAGTATTTAAAAATAATTTCAGTGCTTATGTGTCATTTTTATCACTGTTATCCTGCGTATGTGGGCTGTATATTTTTTTTTATTTTTTCATTCGAGCCACAAACTACTCTTGTTATCTCCGTAGCACCAGCATGCAGCAAGGCGTAACCCAAATCAATGGCCCACCTTCTTCCACCGCCTTCTGACTCCTCGCACCCAAATCTACTCCAATTATTATTTTGTAGTTTTATCTGTCCTCCTATATGGCTGTGAATGCTGGACAATCTCATCACAGATAAAGAAAAAACTTGAAACAACCGAAGTGTGGTTCGACAGAAGGGTACGGAAAACACAATGAACGTCGAAGTTTTAGAAAAAAAAAATGGAAAGATCAGAAAGTGACAGCTGAAATTTATAGGGCACATAATGGAGAAATACGGATGGAAAATTTGATCCTCACGGGGACAGATTGAAGACAAGCGAGATTGTTGTAAACAGCGCCAAACCTACCTAGAGAGCTTGTGTAAATGGATAGCAAATCAGATTTTAGGAGAAATAAATAGAAAATGTTTTAGCCGAAGACGGAATACGAAACGCAGAAGTGCATTAGGGATAGCGAAAGCTGCCTCCAAAAATCTAAGCGAAGTATTACGAAACAAGTACTGAAATGTTATGTAATATCGATCCTTCTATTTACATTATTCGGACTATTGTCCTCATCTTTGTTGCCATATTTGTCACAACGTTTCGGCCGTTGTACGCTTCGGCATTCTTTGGTTGTTGGTTAGATCCAGTGACAGGACCCAAGAAGTTGTGAGTTCAGTACCTGGTTAAGGCAGCGGAGAACTTGGAGATGTGAATTAACAGGAGATAACTAATAATTGACATTCATTAGACATGGCACGTGGAACTAGAACAGTTTACCCCAGCAAGCCAAATAAAGGGTTCAGTTCGACATTCCAACCACCCGAAGAAAGCCGGAGCATACAACGGTCGAAACGTTGTGATAAATATGGCAACAAAAATAAGGGCAATAGTGTCATAATTATCAGTGTCATAAAACCATTTCTGACCTTAGGTCTGTTTGGGACCCGGAAGGAAATATCTATACAACAGAAATCAAAGGAAGAAATAATAATAATAATAATAATAATAATAATAATAATAATAATGATAATAATAATAATAATAATACTATGGGATTATACCATCCACACAGACAGAAAAATTGAAGCAAATAGGCCGGACATTATTGTCAAAAACCAGAAAGAAAAAACTTGCCTACTAATTGATATGGCTTGTCCAGCGGATTGTAACATAGCAACCAAGGAATTTGAAAAACTATCAAAATACAAAGATCTGGAAATAGAAATAGAAAAAATGTGGAAATTGAAAACAAGAATAATACCAGTGGTAATAGGTGCACTTGGAATTATAAAAATGGAACAAAACAACACACTGAAAGAATCCTGGAAACCCCAGCTTAAGAGACATACAGAAAATTGTCTTATTAAGTACAGCACACACACTAAGGAGAACTTTGTCTATGTAACGCTAGCAACTTCATCGGAGATAAAAAAAAAAAAAAAAAAAAAAAAAAAATTAACATGAAATGTACATAATAACACACCACGACCTGCCTTAGGTCTTTCCGCAGACTTGGTAGGTAGTGTGTCCATAGCAGAAATAATAATAATAAAAATTATAATAATAATAATAATAACAACAACAATTAACTTTGGAAACTTACGATTTTTTAATTTCTTTAAATAACTCGGTAGCGTTTAAAGAAAACCTATTTAAACAGATTATTTTGACTTATTTAGATAAGACCGTAATTTTCCTTTTCATTTTTTCTTGTTTTTTCTTTTTTTACTCCGTTCGAATGTTTTTTAGTAATGTGAAATATCAAACGGCAACAATGCTTATTACGAACGCTTTATGTTTTCTATCTTACGATTAAAATTTGCTATACAAATACGATAAATAAAGAAAATTATTGGCACAAACATTGCTTATATATTTGAATTAAAAATAAATAAAGCAAATGAAATATTTATTAACATAAGGTTTCTCAAATTGTCAAATTAATTGTTACCGCTGTTTAAGCACTATTTATTAGTAATATATATATATATACAAAAGATTGATAGCATATCCCCCATATGTTACTGGTATGGATGGTGTGGACGACACACAAACCAAATTTATACAAAAATACATCTAATCTTCGTATGTTTTTTTTTTTCTGTTTTTTTTTTTTTTTTTTTTTTTTTTTTTTTTGTTTTTTTGTTTTTTTTGTTAAACGATTGATTCCCGACAGAAAATTTGGGCCAGTTTATTTGTTTTTCTATTATGATGTCTTAGCCTAAAATTCGAATATTGTCTCTTCTTTTTCATTTTTTTGTTTTTTACGAATGCAGCAAAATTAAAGAAACCTCAGCTGAAATCAAAGGGAAAACCCCGCTTATCTCCGCTTTCAGCATCGACGGAGCTTGTCATTTCTTCTGGTGAAATTCAGAAACAGACACCAAAAGCTAAGAACAAAGGTCATAGAGCCAATAAGGAAGAAGCAGCCACGCAATCGTCGGAATCAGTCAGTAAGTGGCAACATGGCTGAAAGTGATTCCATTCACATATATGCACTCGCAAATTACATAGTTTCGCCTTTTTTTTTTTTTTTTTCTCATTTCGAGCTACTAACGCCTTAGCTCTAATACATTTGTCTACTAATATATATATATTTTTGTATGCTGTATGTGATCTGCTAGGTAACCTTGACATATGTAGGAAGGATATGAGAATAATCCAGAACCTATACTGGCCGCAGACCACCTTCATACGGATAGGAAATGAATTCAGTAATTATACAAAAATATTACGGGGCGTAAGACAAGTTGCGTCTTTTCACCAGACATTTTCAATCTATACAGAGATGCCATTCTGGGAGAATTAGAAATACTACCAGGATTCATTACTGAATGCAAAAATCATAACAATATATCATATGCGGATGACACATTGTTGATAGCAGATACAGAATGGAAACAAGAAACTCCTACAGAGGGAAACAAGAAAGGACTAGACATTAATTGAAAGAAGATGGGATGTATGGTTATTAACAAAAAAAAAGAGTGCAACATGCAAATTTCACATTATTTACATTATTCGAACTATTGTGCTTATCTTTGTCGCCATATTTATTATAACGT